TTCTTGTCTATAAAACTGGTTATTAAATTTCAAGTTGTTAAATTATGTTAGGCGGTCCAAATAAAACGGAACCTGGACAGAGGTTTTTGAAAACGAAGTCACGCTGGTGCAAATAGTGCTTAAACCTCAAAATATGTCGACGTTTTCAGCTCTAAAAGATAGTAAATTATTGTTCCGACTTTCGATACGAAAGTAATTGTTCCGATTTTCGATACGAAAGTAACGGAATATTTGTGCTCGGGGTGGGTTTTTTTTTCTTCAGACAATATTCGACTTTTAACTAGCCATTTTTGACAAAAATTTTTTATATCATTCGAAAACTATTGTTGTCCTGAGCTTAAACTTGAAACACTATTTTACCTATTTCAACGCATTTTTTGTAAAGTTATGGGGGTTTAAAGATTGCCATTTTGGCCAATTTGGTCAATTAACGCGCAATATATTTCGCGCTATTAACGCGTAAGCGGATATTTAATCCGTTTTACAAATCGTTCCAAATTGGTTGAAAGAAGCTTATTCGCCATAATTCAATTGTTTCAAGGAGCAAAATCTATCCTTTTGTACTTTATATGGCGTGTAGGGGGATGTTTTTCAAAATTTTATTTTATTACATTTAATTTTTTTTGTTATTACTGCTCCATAAAATTCAAAAGGCAGTCGGAACATTTAGGGCTTCGCACTGATACGAGCAGTCTTGTTAATTTGTAAATACTAAATTGCATTAGCAAACCCCCACTGGAGTTTCATCAATAAAAATCGATTATAATTGAGTTTCCTTGTCAGTGTCCACAAAAGTGAAAACAAATCGATTATAATCAATTAAAAGTGGATTAATATTACTCAAGTGGTGGGAGGTTTCAAGTGAGGGGTGTTCAGGTTGGGGGGGTTCAGTGGGGGGAGGAGCAAAGGGGCAAACGTAAGGGGGATTGAAGGCGAGCAAAGGGGCAAAAGTTAGGTGGGGGAGGGAGAGCTGAACGGAATTTTTTTGCAATTTGAGTTTAGGTTTAGAAATGGATTAAGCCGTACACTCACTTTGCAAAGTTTCCGCAAAACTCACTTGATAAATGCAGAAAATCTTGCAAAATTTTGCACGACGCGCGAAACAAAAATAAAGAGTAAGTAAATCCATTTTAATGTGATTACCTACTTATTATTATATCCATTATGATGGATTCCAAAAGAATTATAAAGCAATTGTTTTGGCGAGAAAAAAATGGATTTAAATCCAACTTTAGTCCAATTTTGTTGTCTGAACGTAACATGGAAATCGATTATATTTACAACATTGTAGACCACCAAAATCCATTATAATCGATTTGTTGTCATTTTTCTCTCAAATTGGGTTGAGCTTAGGTGAAAACTTATGAGGAGGAAACTTGCTTAAAATTTTAGCAGAATTAATATGGTTTTAATTGTTTTGCGAAATTCGGGCCCAAAATTTTACCCCAAAAATGGGTCAATTTGGCTTTTCCTAAATAATCAAAAACTACGCATAAAATACCCAGTCGATCACAGACATAATTATATCAAAGTGAGCTATTTACAAAGCCCAACGAATTTTAGGAAAAGAATTTTCTCTAAAACATTGTATAAATTAATTTATTTTTGTTTTATAGACAAAAAAGATCATTTTTACTATATAAAATACCAACTTTTTATTTAAAAACAATTTTTAAACAATTTTTTTGGAGAAATTACCCTTCTTAAATTTTTTTAGGCTACGTAAGGGGCTCACTCTAATATAGTTATGTCTGTGATTGACTTTGTATTTTCGGCGTAATTTTTGATTAACTAAGAAAAGCTAAAATGACCCATTTTTAGGGTAAGGATTTGGGCCCGACTTTCGCAAAACAAACTAAGCCATATTAATCCTGCTAAAATTTTAAGTAAGTTTTGTCTTCATAAGTTTTCACCTAAACTCAACCCAATTTGAGAAAAATGCGTTTTAAATTTCAAGTTTAACGCGTTTTGTCCGGTTAATTTAAATCAGCACTGTATTTCTGTTATCAACTAGATTCTGCTACCGTCAATGTTCAAATATATTGCAACCTCTAGTTTTCAACCGAGAGAATGAACAAATCTGTTTACAAATTTTTGCCGTTTTCTCAGCAGATATGTAAGACTTTGGGTTAAACCTTGCGCTTAAGTTAATTGTTGCGACTTTTTGATACGAAAATAACGGAATATTTGTGTTCGGGTTGGGTTTTTTTTTCTTCAAACAAATTTCGACTTTTTAATTCGCTATTTTGAACTAAATTTTTTTATAATATTCGAAAGGTATTGTTGTCCTGAGCTTAAATTTGAAAAGATTTTTCAACTGTGATCATTTTTCGTAAAGCTTTGGGGTTTAAAGATTGCCATTTTGGCCAATTTGTGACAATTAACGCGCGGGCTCTTTTTCCTTTTCCCCCCACCTCACAACAACATGAAATTTATGGTCTAACAAGTGGTTTTACAAGGTTAATAATGAGGACTAAATATGTTTGTCTTTGCCTAATTAGTCTGCATGTCAATTTTTATGATAATTGGACAAGATTAACAGTAATTTAAAAGATGAAAATTTGCAGGTGGGGGGAAAAGGAAAAAGAGCCAACGCGCGATATATTTCGCGCTATTAACGCGTAAGCGGAGATTTAATCCGTCTTAGAAATCGTTCCAAATTGGTTGAAAGAAGTTTATTGCAATAATTGATTTCTTACAAGGAGCGAAAACTATTCTTTTGTACTTTAAATGGCGTGTGGGGGTTGATTTTCAAAGAACATTTCAAATTTTACAGAAAAAAAGTTTCATTTTATTACATTTAATTTTTTTTGTTTTTACTGCTCCAAAAATCCTAAAAGGCAGTCGGAACATTCAGGGCTTCGCCCTGATACGAGCAGTCTTGTTTATATTATCTAGCTGAATCATAATTTGAAGACTTTTGACTCATAATTGTTTTTTGAGAAACCGATAAACTTGGCTCGGACCGTATATTGCATGAAAACAATAGATAAAGGATATAAAAAGACTAAGCCAAAAATGAAGACAATTTGTTTCGATTAGTACAAAGTTTCTGTTTCCTAGCCACTAAAACCAGACAAATTAAAGAAAATCACTCTATATCCTGTTAATAGCAGGAGCAGATTTAGTTTTTTCTCAGGGGCAGACTTTCAAAAATTTTCGAAAGCTTTGTCGATTTTTTTAGGTGAACCCCATTGATTTTTCGAGCGCTCCCAGAACTCTATAAATGCCTCATTTTTGCAAACTTTCTGCGCCGCATGAACATTTTTGAAAAAAAAAACAGGTAAAAAGTTCTATTTTTGGCACTTTTTGGAAGTTTGTTGCCCAAAAAATTGCGTCTTTTCGGTGCGCGTCTCCCTTCAAAATTAGTAAAAAATGGCGCCAAAGGCGCCTTTAGTAATATTTACGGGTTGTGCGGCCAAAAATGGATTTCCAACCAAAAAATTTGCAGCCAAAAATATAAACTCACAAAGGGTAACCTTTGGTTGTTGTTTAGGTCAAATCCCTGAGGGAGGAGCCACTGCAGTCGGAAAATCTTTGATTAATCTTCAATAAGAACGCCGAAAATGTTTTTGAAATCAGCCCAACCAAATAATTTTATCAAAGTCAAGGCGCGGAATTTGGTTTTCTTGAGATTTTTTTGAGTTTTATACAAAAAAATGCTGTTATGATTTTTTTTCTGATTCGATTTTTGATCATAGAAATAACAGAACAATATTTCTGATTTTTTCTGGCCATAGAAATAAACAGAGCAAAATTTGTGATTTTACTATGATCGGAGAAGTATCAGAACGATAACTCTGATTTTATTCTGATCAGAGAATTATCAGAACAAAACCCCTGATCAGAAAAAAGCTGAACTGCGGTTTTTTTTCTCTGATTTATCTCTGATCAGAGATAAATTGCCACTTGCCAGAATCTGATACAGAACTGATGTTTTACTAATAAATTTCTGGAGAAGTAATAATTTTCTGTGTGACTTCAACTCGGGTGGTCTGTTGAAAATTGTATTCCTACTAAAATTGCTTAAATTATGCGTTAAAGTATTCAATAACTATGCTAAGAGTATAATCAACAACTATTCATAGAGAATATTTATAAATTTTCCGTGAGTGTTACTGTGGTGTTAGAAAATAGATTTATTTAAATATTTTTTATTATGGGTTTCATTTCTAGATATCGAACTTCTTTTTAAATAACGAACTTTTTAAATAACGAAGTCTAATCAATTTCAATTAGACTTGCCGGTTCTTTTCAAAACATAATCATGTCCCAAACTGAAAAAAAATAAACTTAATTCTGCGATATTTATTTGTTGCAAATTGATTCGGCTCATTGATTCGGCTCAACACTCAAGTAGTTTTAAGTGATACCATCTAATTTTTTTCTGACAACGCATCGCTAGAAGCGAAAAGTTGCACATTGATTCGGCTCAAAACTCAAGTAGTTTTAAGTGATACCATCTAATTTTTTTCTGACAATGCATCGCTAGTAGCGAAAAGTTGCACATTGATTCGGCTCAAAACTCAAGTAGTTTTAAGTGATACCATCTAATTTTTTTCTGACAACGCATCGCTAGAAGCGAAAAGTTGCACATTGATTCGGCTCAAAACTCAAGTAGTTTTAAGTGATACCATCTAATTTTTTTCTGACAACGCATCGCTAGTAGCGAAAAGTTGCTAAACAACGGCCATCATTTTTCATATTCAAGTTAATAAATTTTTCGTGGTTGCTTACTGGATATTTTTTGAGAAAATAATTCTTTTTCTATTCCTAGGAAAAGCATAACACATCTGGTTATTTAAATTAATTTCTCGAACAGTTAAATCTATTTTTGATTATTTTAGAGGGCATAATTTTGAAGTGAAAACACTGATAAAAGTACAGGAAAAGCAAAAACTCCGACTTAAATATCACGGTAGCTAAAAAAATATCAATCAAACGGCTTCAACTTGTTGAAAACTATCCGGGTCAAACGTTTTGAATTACTTCATTCCTCCTTCATTTCTGGATTAGGTTTAAAAATTAAACGTCAAATTTCTTGGCCTGTTCCTCAATGTGTTTGGGGAAAGGCATTTTGAACGTCTTCGGGAAGTCATGTTCCCATGTATGCTGTGACCTCAAGATCTGGCGCTCCTTCAAAAGGTCATCAGTTGACCTCATTTTGACCCACCATCTTCCGGGATTATATGTGATATCTTCTTTGTCGTATTTCGTGCCTGCAAATGTAGCTTCTGATTTTTCTAGTCTATAAAACTGGTTATTAAATTTCAAGTTGTTAAATTATGTTAGGCGGTCCAAATAAAACGGAACCTGGACAGAGGTTTTTGAAAACGAAGTCACGCTGGTGCAAATAGTGCTTAAACCTCAAAATATGTCGACGTTTTCAGCTCTAAAAGATAGTAAATTATTGTTCCGACTTTCGATACGAAAGTAATTGTTCCGATTTTCGATACGAAAGTAACGGAATATTTGTGCTCGGGGTGGGTTTTTTTTCTTCAGACAATATTCGACTTTTAACTAGCCATTTTTGACAAAATTTTTTTATATCATTCGAAAACTATTGTTGTCCTGAGCTTAAACTTGAAACACTATTTCACCTATTTCAACGCATTTTTTGTAAAGTTATGGGGGTTTAAAGATTGCCATTTTGGCCAATTTGGTCAATTAACGCGCAATATATTTCGCGCTATTAACGCGTAAGCGGATATTTAATCCGTTTTACAAATCGTTCCAAATTGGTTGAAAGAAGCTTATTCGCCATAATTCAATTGTTTCAAGGAGCAAAATATATCCTTTTGTACTTTATATGGCGTGTAGGGGGATGTTTTTCATAAGAAATTTTTCAAAATTTAGAAAAAATAAAAATTTCATTTTATTTTATTACATTTATTTTTTTTTGTTATTACTGCTCCATAAAACTCAAAAGGCAGTCGGAACATTTAGGGCTTCGCACTGATACGAGCAGTCTTGTTAATTTGTAAATACTAAATTGCATTAGCAAACCCCCACTGAAGTTTCATCAATAAAAATCGATTATAATTGAGTTTCCTTGTCAGTGTCCACAAAAGTGAAAACAAATCGATTATAATCAATTAAAAGTGGATTAATATTACTCAAGTGGTGGGAGGTTTCAAGTGAGGGGTGTTCAGGTGGGGGGGGGGGGTTCAGTGGGGGAGGAGCAAAGGGGCAAACGTAAGGGGGATTGAAGGGGAGCAAAGGGGCAAAAGTTAGGTGGGGGAGGGAGAGCTTAACGGAATTTTTTTGCAATTTGAGTTTAGGTTTAGAAATGGATTAAGCCGTACACTCACTTTGCAAAGTTTCCGCAAAACTCACTTGATAAATGCAGAAAATCTTGCAAAATTTTGCACGACGCGCGAAACAAAAATAAAGAGTAAGTAAATCCATTTTAATGTGATTACCTACTTATTATTATATCCATTATGATGGATTCCAAAAGAATTATAAAGCAATTGTTTTGGCGAGAAAAAAATGGATTTAAATCCAACTTTAGTCCAATTTTGTTGTCTGAACGTAACATGGAAATCGATTATATTTACAACATTGTAGACCACCAAAATCCATTATAATCGATTTGTTGTCATTTTTCTTAAATGCGGGAACGCATAAGTTATACAAATGCGCCGTGTAGTAAGTTCTTTTTATTTACGTTTAGGAAAGCTGGAAACAAAAATTACCTGTGGTCTGAGGACACTTTCACACAATTCTCATATTTGTAATTCCGTCAACTCGTTGAACTCCATTCTATTATTTAGACCAATTTTGCTTGTCGCCTAATTTTTCAGCCCAAAAAGTTGTGTGCCAAAAGTAAAATGCCTGTCGCCTGGTTTTGCATGCCTTAACTACAATCTAGGGGATAAACGGCAAGAAAATTGGACGTTAATATTGGAACGGATATCAGGCGACTTCGCTATTGTTGAATTACGAGAATTCGATGAGAAATATTTACCGACTCCAAAAGGATTTTTGTTTGAGTTTTCGTAAGCGCAAATTAGATTACTACATATCACATCAAAATATTTCAAGCGTTTTAAAAAAGCAAAGAACTATTTGCATTTATTACTTTATGAAAAACATTTATGAAAACGTATATAATATTTATGATCAGTTTTGAGATTTTATCATTTTTTTTTGTATTGATGTGACTAGAACGTAAGCATAAACGTCAGTTTTGCAAAGAACAATTATCCTCTGAACTTCATTTTTTCTTACAATTTTGTCTATTAAGGTTTTCTCCTAATTTCCTAGCTCCCAATCATGGGATAATAGAAGAAATTGAAGTTTATTATGTCTGAAACAAAAATATCGTGTCACTAAAAATTTTGCTCGAGTTTACTTTAAAACAAAACAGATCAAATTTTCACATGTCATAACTGAGAATTTGTGCATTTCAAACATGTTTTTTATTATTCGGAAAATTGTTCACCAATTAATTATTATGAACATTTAGATATAACTTGGGTTATAATTTCTCAAGGTGTTTGTGAAGTTTTGTTTCATGTAATACATTTTAATAATTTTATACTTTTTGTCAAAAATGCTATTTTTGCAGACAATCAGGGGCGGATTTAGGGGGGGGGGCGTTTTGAGGCGGACGCTTTTTTTCAGGGATTCGAAACCCTGCCGACCCTTTGGTACTTTTTAAGAAATCCATTTTTGGACGACGGACTCTAAAATTTTTTCCTAAAGGTGCCCTGGGCGCCAATATATACTAACTTTGAGGGGGAGCGCACGCGCAAAAAAAAGCGTTTTTTTTTGTCAAAATTTTTCAAAAGGTGCCCAAAAACGGCTTTTTTGACCTGTTTTTTTTTCAAAAATTATCGTGAGGCGCAGAAATCTTATTTAAATCTTAGCCACAACAGCGTCTTTTTAGTGCTTTAGGAGAGCTCAAAAAATCATTTTGGTCGACCTAAAAAAAGGTCGTCAAAGTTTTCGAACATTTTTTGAAAATCCGCCTCCCCCTCGAGAAAAAATCCTGAATCCGCCCCTGCAGCAGACAATGTTTAGTGTTCAAACTATGTTTCATTAGTTTCTAATATGTTTTTCTCCAATTTGTTGACGACCATTCACTAGTAATTAAAATGGGGATTGATGATAGAAAGTTAAACCAAAGTTGATTAAAGCCCCATATGCATTAATGGCTGGGTTTGAGAAATAAAACAAACGATAATATTATAGGTTTTGTTAGTTTTGGCTCATGATGAAATCACACTAGTACTCGAAAAAATCAAAACCAAAAATCTCAAAAATCTTGAAACAAACGCTTATAAAAAATCCAATTATTCAACGACCTTTTTCGAAATACGTAAAGAATACAACTAAGACGTTAGATAACTTCATTTATGCTTGAGAAAGTTCAATCTAAAACAAATCTAATCAAATATTTTTGTTAGCAAATCTCCGTTTTGCAGGTTGTCTACTTTTTTGGGGGGCTTATGAATTAACGGCAGAAAACTCATTTAAATAGACTGCAATGCTGTTTTACTTGATAATTATGATCCAAATGACTAGTTTGGTTATTTTGAGCTTCTTAAAATAATCTTTTTCCCCAGAACTTTTGTTTTACAGCAGAAATTGAGTTTTTGATAGTTACAATTAAAAAAACTTTTCAATCAGTAAAATAGACAAATAAATTAATTGTTTTGTAACTGAATAATCCTAACAGATTCATGGTCAGCCCAGCTTTTTTCTTGATGTTTTTATCATGATAATTTAACAATCTAGTGTCGCCGAGTACTCTCTTTTGATACCTAGTAACGAGTATTTAATTCATATTTTGTACCTGAAATTTTTTTTTTTATGTCTGACGAAACATACAGACGAAACATAGGTCATTTCTTATCATACTCATATTTTTAAATAAATTTATTTTTGCCCGCACTGAAAACTAATGGTCATTAATCGATCAATTATAAAACAATTTCACTGTCAGTCTCTAAACAGATTGAAAAAACAATCGAACATATTTGACTAAAAGTCGATAAAAATCAATGGAAAATCAATAAAATAAAATTTGTCTTTCTAATGGACTATCTCGTTTTTTTTTTAAATTGTCCCAAATTTTCAAAACATTCCAGTGTTTTTACAAATTGACAAATGCTTTTGATTTAACTCGTGTTTTATTAGAAAACAGCAAAAAAATTACTAACTTTGGCTAAAAAAATGTTTATATCTTTTTCAATTTTTTCCCTCTACCAGTTTTAGATATATTTTTTCAGTTTCTTCCCAATTTGCGTTCATATTTCCCTCCTTGTCCCTCATCTTATGTTAAAGATTTCTGAAAAACTCAACTTTTATGGAAAAATGTTTATCATACAATTTTCATATATGGAAATTGTATGATAACCATTTTTTTCTAAAAAAAAAAAAGAAACAGTTTTTTTTTCATCTTTTCATCACTAGACTGTTTTATTTGGTTGAAATAGCAGCAGAAACTACTTCGAATCTTTTTTCAGTGGTTTTTTGAAATTGTATGAAAATTGTATGATTAGCATTTTTCCATACATTTGATGTATGGAATTGTATTATAAGCATTTTCGGAGTAGTGAATTAAAAGATAAGAATTTTCGGTTTATGGAGGTCAACCCGGGTTAGTTAAAACAAGTTTTTCTCAGAAAAGTGTTAATTTGTTGGTAATTATTACCAAAAAAAATAAATCTTATGCCAAAAAAGTTCGGCTTGTGCAAAATGTGGAGTTTTCTGAGGATTTTTTATAATCAGTTGTTTTTTTATTCTTACCTGTAGATAGTGAAGACGCCATAAGGACTACTGATTGCTTCCGGTTGGAGTCGAAGATGGACTCTGGCTCCATGTTTGTATCTCCCCCTTTGTGTGTCTGCAGGGGAGGCAGGAAGGGTTTAAATTTGCTGATTGCGGGCGCAGAGCTGCGCTGGTTTCTTGCCGACGCAGCTACAAAAACAAAATTTCCTCATTAAATAATTGTCAGTTTCTTAAAATCTTCAAGATACACTAAACCAAAAGTTCCGGTACTTCAATCCTGAGTATTTATATTTACGGGATAGTTTGCGAGAAAATGTATGAATGTTTTTTTTCGGAGTTTGTTTACTTATCTAATAAATTTTGCAGAAAAGTTACTTTCGATGGAGTAACATCAAAAATGAGGATGAATCCTGATTGTGCACCTCTGTTTTTCTGCTTGAGTTTGAGTTTCTCCTTCTTCTTCTTGGCCAGTTCTGCGTCTGAGAGAGGGGGAACCACTTGGTCGTACCTGTTCTTCACTTTGACAGTCACTCGGGGGTCACTCCAACTGTAGGCCTTGTCCATCACAGTCTCCTCCTTCACAGTCTCAATCGACACGCGGGCACCTAGAGGGAATAGACAGAATGGGATAGCTCGCTGGCTGAAATTCAGAACAGGAGGTTCTAGTGGGGATGGCCAAACGAATAAGTCTCAGCCTCTCAACGTTACGAGGTCAAACTGTGCACTAGATTGGTTTTTTGAGACCCACCAACATCCTTGCTTGTTGCTTGAGGTCGAGAAACGTTAAGCAGCCCAGAAATATAACCAATTTTGCATATGTAACTCTTAACCAGGTTCTCCCTGCTTACACCATGAATAGCTCGTATGTAAGTCCTTTCCTTTAAGGGTAAATGATTTTCGGCTTAGTAGCGAATTCATTGCATGCGAACGTGAATTGAATGGCACGAATTCAAAGCCAGTAGCACAGTTGGATGGAACAATGCAATTTTAAGAGATGATATTTTGTGGAGTCAAAATAATTAGCTAATAATATTATCCTGTTTTACGAAAAACCTGGATTTTTATGTTTAAGATGACACGGGAAACTAAATATGTACATTTTTTTCACATTTTTTTTACCAGAGAAATTACACCAACTGAGTTAGGACTGGTGTGTATAACTCATAGAGTAATTTCGGATAGGGTACACCGTCTGCTCGTCACGCTATCTTATTTTCGGCCGGATAGATTCGTGCAACTTCTTAGTCTAATACCGATCCTAATCTTACTCTTATACTATCTAGTCTCAGGTTGTTTAACTAGTCTCTGCTAGGCTCAATAGATCTAGGGTATACTGGTTTATTGCGGCTGCTGAAGTGCTCGGGAGAGTCCAACTAATTTCTAAGTTAAATTCAAATCTCTCTGGTGCTGAAATTACAAGTAACTTCAGCACTTACAAATAAGTGGGTTGTTAGTTAGATGGATCATGATTGGTTAATATTAAATACTTTACATTGGTAAAATATCTAATTTATCCAATCATAAAATATAGTTTAGATCAGGTTCCACCCATCCGGGTTTTACAGAGTTTTTTAGAATAGTTCTTCTGCGATTCGAAGGATGGATGATGGACGTTGGTTTTTGGCGAACATCTTTTTCTTCCGTTTCCTCTTTGTTAAAGAAGTTCCAGGAAGCTGGAGTTAGAGACATAAGACGTTGTGTCTTCTAGTGACAACGACTAAGTCTTTGCAACAAACTCAAATCTGATTTCAGAATGGTTGGCTATGTCAGGTTTTTCTGTTCTGCGTGGAGAACTTCTTTTGTGTCTGATCTAGTTTGGGAATGGCGTGGAGATTGTGCGTGGAGGGGATGCCTGGTTACTCGGATCTGTACGTATACTTGAACATCGAGGTGGTCATTGGTCTAGTTCAATGAAGTCCTTTTCTGCGAAGTCAAGTCGTACTCTAAATCCTTTGAGTTGTGATTGTGAGTGGCATATCGATTGTGGTTGGTCATTCTCTCTCGAGTGTAGTGGGGTCGTTTTGTCTTTAGATGTTCGTCCTTGGTGTTGTATTCTGATCTATGTATTGCATAATGTAATTTACATTTTATAAAACATTTATTAGTTTAATATTTTTTAATTATGATTTTAGTTAGTTGTTTTCACAAAAGCTTTTTGTTTTAGTTCGGTTATTTTGAAGAGTTACTCACACTTGAGTAGCTCTTATTAAAAATAGAGGTGTGGTCACAAAGCGTGGATGTAGCGCGGTGGGTTAGGCCGGCTATAGAGCATGCTCAGGACGTCCTTCCTGGTGGGTTAGGCCAGGAGTGGGAGTATGATTTCATGCGGTTTTTGTGAGGGGTCCTGTTATGTGACAACGTTTTATGTTGGGTTTGTTGTGGTTTTTCTTATGTCTTGTTGGTTATGTCCTTTTTCCAAAAAGCAAATTGTTCGTGGTATGGGTTTGTCTTTCGACTTTTTTGTGTTTTATTATTTCTTTCTTAGACTTTATAATAGTCTTCAAAAGAATAAATTATCCAGTTTTAAACTGGGTTAATCCGGTTTGGGTACCGTTGGTTTCCTTTTCTTAGTCATGCTGTTATTCTATGATTTGTGGTATTTAGTAAGCTGCGTTGGTTAGTTTTGTTTAGTATATGATTCCTTTCCAACCGGGTTAAAGGAAGGTTTGAAACATGTTATTATATGTTAGAGTTGTTGAGTGTGAAAACTTGAAACTGAAATTCATTATTTTAAACAATTCTTCGTGGGCGAGCTGTGCGAGTGTGGATAGAATTTCTGTGCGAATAAATGAGAATATCAAAAGGTTAGTACTGCATTTGCATTTTATTAATTTACTGCATAGAATTGGTAAATTTACTGCTAGTTATGGGGGAATTTTAAGTTACAAATTTTCATCATAATTAGATTTACTGCTTGTGGGGAAAATTTTAGAAATGAATTTACTGCATTGGTATTAAATTTATAAATTTATAAGTGTAAGAGATTAATAGAATTTTTGAAATCTGTTTGATGAAATTTGCGATTTTTATTTGTCTTTTGTGGTTTTTGTAGGTGATCGTCGGATGAAGGCTAAAAATCTAAGGAAAACATGGATAAAGTATGGTGAGTTTTTTTTTTTTTTTAATATTTTAATTAGTTAGTAATATTCATTTAATTCATACTTACCTGTTAGTCGTCGGGGAAAAAACCGTGGGGGAAGATGTCGTGAATTAGTTCTGAAGTTGTTAGTAGTTTAGCTAAGATGCGGATGATATTTTCAGTCTGAAGCAGTGGCCAAAGCAATTGAAGTGCCTTAATAGTGGTTAGTTCTTCAGTGCCAACTGCAAACTCATAAGGTGTGTTTTGGATTAGATTATATAATTTGTGATTGAATTTAGTGTTGTGGATGAATTCTAAAATTGGGATTTCTATAGGTTGTACAAACTCGTGCGGGATAAGGAAGGGTCGGGATTCTTCGGCGTTGAAGGTCTTGGTGATGGGACAGAAGATGTACATTTGGGTTATGGGATCATAATTGCGAAGAATACCATGAAGGTTAGTATCTTTAATGCAATATGTGAAATTTAGGAAAAATGGTGAAGTGTATTTGGAATTAATGAATTGAAAGCGATGGTGTGGTTGTCTAGAGGGTGTGTGTAGGTCAAAGTGATTTTGGATGAAGCGATAATAACTATATGTGTGGGTTTGTTTAGTGCGCAACATAATATCGTGTGAGCAGTGTAAATCTCTTTCGTGTGGTGCAAGGAAATGAAAGGTTAGTGAAAATATTTGGAAGCGTTCTTTAAAACTTTCGTATGCTTGTGTGTCTGTTAGTGCTTCTGAAATAATGTGATCAAACTTTCGGTCGAAGATGTTTAGTGTAAATATATATGGTGTCTTGATGAAAAATTTCTCGGTAATTTGTGGATTAGCGAAGCGATCGTCGTCTAAGAATTGATCTTGGTTAGCTCTGATGATGTTGTGATCATAGTATTCGAGTGTATATTCGTTAGCTCTAGGTGCAGTGTGTGTTTTTAGTGATTTTTTATATCCAACGTAAGTAAATTGTCTAGCGGTTAGTGGTGTAGTGAGTCGATATAGCATGTCCGTATTTCGCTCTATATCGATGTGAGTGTTAGATAAAGGTAAGCAAAGAGGGTTAGTAAAATGATAATATGAGGTCCAAGAGAGAGTGGGCATTAAAACGTATTCATCTACAAAGTTGCGTGTTTCGTTAGTGTCGTGGGGGGTGTTTAAGGTGTATTGTGGGAATGAGGGTAAGGTGATGGCTAAAAATTCTTTTGTGTTAGTATGCTTGGGGTGGTTGATGTATTCACGGGCTGTTCCTGGTTTTGCTGGGAAAGGATGGTTGGGGAACTTTCTTTTAAAAGTGCGGTAAGCTCTATTAGTATTGTGTGAAGATTCAGTTGATGTGGATGATGGTGCTAATGATTCAGTATAATTTGAAGAGGGTGTAGGGGTAGGGGGGTTGGATGAATTGATTGTGGAGGAGATTTGGTTTATTGTTGGGGTATGGAGGTGGTAGGGTTGTTGTTGAAGGGTAATAAAATTATCTAGCTCTGGGGAGATTCGGGGGGTGTCTGGAGAATGAGATGATTGGTCAGAATGAAGTGAGGAGTAGGTTGGGGTAACTTGGGAAGCATAAGAGGGTGTGGAAGTGATTGGGTCAGGGTTATTGGATAATATGGGTTGAAAAGGGGGTTGAGAAAAATTAGAAGAATTATGAAAATGATTTGATGGGGATGGTTCTGAGTCGGCAAATTCATCGGGGGTTTCAATATTCGGGTTATTGAGTTGTGAGATGGAATATAAAACTGAGATGTGTGAATTAGTGTCGGAATTCATGCCTGATGTTACATTACTAGATGGAAAATCGGGTGGCGGAAAAGCAAAAAGTGGTATTATTGGGATTGGAGAGGTAAGATTGGTTGGGTGGGAATTTGATCGGTGTAGTGATCCAAGTTGGCGGCTCATCGTGGGCTAAAAAAATGATTATTTTGAGACTGAAAAGCGGTGGTATGGGGTTGTTCAATAATTTGTTCATAAGTATTTTGATCTTGTGACTGGTGTGTCATTATATGTTGGATGGGACTTTGTGATGTGGTGAGTCGAAAATTTGGATTATGTGTGATGGCTAAATTTCGAAAATTTCATGGGACTAGGGATAGTGGATGGTTATTTGGTAGGGGTGGTAATTGTGGTGCCGTTGGCGTTATGTCTACATTGTTATGTTCTTCGTCGTATGTATTTTGTCGTGTTGCTATTTTTGTGTTATATTCTTTTATTTGTGCGTCTAAAAGAATTTTGTTTATAGATGTAGAAAAGATTCCAATAAATCCTGCAAAGAGTATGCGTGCTACGCTTGCTTGTCTGTTTACTTGTGTGTGTATAGCACATGTGTTGTAGATTCCTTTTAAAAGTGAGAAAAGAAATCCAATAAAGTTAAACATTGCGTATAAAATAGTCAATTTTTCTAAGATGTAGTAGGGCCATCCTAGAAAATCGAGGATCTCATTTTTGAGTGTAACAAAGCTAAAAATGTTAATTGGTGATATATCTTGGGGACGGTATTTTTCACCGTTTAGATATATATAATCTTTAATG